TGAGCGATCAACAAGTATGATAATCACAATTAAATTCTAAACATCATCATCATCCCCTATTCCTAGCGAAACGAATTGGCCACTCATATGGAATTCAAAATCAACAATCTCAACAATCAAAGCCATCATATTCATGGATTAGATGAAAAGAGAAACTTACGATTAATAGAAATCCAATATTCGAATCCAATGACAAAGCTAAATCTGGAAAAGTAAAGAGAGAATTGAGCAAAAAGAACGATATAAATCTGAATTTTAGAGAAGGCTGAAGTGAAAAAAGAATATTGGGGATTGTTCCCACGAGTCTAAGGATCGTTTTGATATATAGTGCGCGAAAAACGGAGCTAAAACGAGTAAAAACGAGCAAAAATAAAAACAGGGTCGGCCCAGTCGCGACTCGCGAGTCGACTCGCGAGTAGCGAGTCGACTTGCGAGTAGCGAGTCGCTTGGGTCGCTGGGGCTGCGCGTCTCTGTTTTTCTCGCGAGGCGCGAGATGCTGGGCGCTGGGGGCGCACCCGCTGGGCGTGGGCTAGGCGCGGGTCGCGGGCACGGTCGCGACTCGCGACTTGGACTGCACTGCGCCTCTTCACGTTTTGGCCTCGTTTGAGCTCGTTCGAACTCGGAATTGAGCGCCGTTTTTTCCTACGCATTGCCAATGAACCCCTATATTCAACTATGCTCTCGAAACTAATTTTTTTTGAAGATAAAATTATCCCTAAGCTCCCGACCTACACACCAAAAACAACAAAACACAAAAGAAAACCGAAAAAACAAACGAAAAACACCTAAAGACTCAAAATGAAGGAAACCACATAATAAAACACGAAACGGACTAAAAATAAAGAAACGACCTAAAACGGGAGAAAAATAAAGATAAAATAAACACGAAAAAACGCAACAAAAATGGGACAAACAACTCCCCCACACTTAAACCTTTGTTCGTCCCGAACAAAAAGAAAAGAAAAGAGCAGACACAAAACTAAAAACCAAGCATGGACAACAGTCATTAACAAGATAGCTTCAACATGTTCAACTTCAACAATGAGCATTCAAATGGCACATACGAACATTACACAACTACATGTTTGATCTCTATACTTCGACTTGGCGTTCTCTCAAGTATGGGAATATATATGTGTGCCTCACTCGAATGCTTATACAGATAAAGATAGGTGCACTCAAATTGGTCGATAACAAGTTCAATCATATGCTTGCCCATTGTCTAACTTCTACTCTAAATCAATCAAAATCGAAACTAGTGCATCAAATGGTCTTTCAAGGTTGTAACGTAGGCTCTTTGGTTAGGTAGGATAAATATAGGCTAAGTGGCTTGAATTCATTACATAACTCAAACACCATACCCCAGAATCGTACACGCAATCGGTTTGCTCAACCATACCGGATTATCCCCCACACTTCTCCTAAAACCACACGTTTCACCTATCTTATTTCATTTTTTTTTCTTTTTCTTTTCTTTTTCTTTTTTGTGTAGACCTTATTGGACATTTTCTAATCCATTCGGCTAGGATAATTACGAGCTAATTTGAAATCATTTATATCTCAATTTAGGAAATTACGAGCTAATTTGAAAAATTACTGTCTTGAGGCTTTCTAGAGTTCTCTGAAATATTTCGAAGTTCGGGAACTAAATTTTGACTTGATCTTAATCTGACTAGGTTTGGGAAAATACTTAAATTTCGGATCACGCTCAAACCGATATTTTGAATTGAAAACTCCAGAATCGCCCAGACTGCTCGGACTGATTCGGCTGAACTGGAGACTTCTCGAACTGTCCAGACTGCCTGAACCGGTTCGGCTGGACTGGATCGGCGGCTCGCTCAGAACCAACCAGTCGCTCATTGACTCTGTGCAGCTCAGCTCAACTGTGGTCCGAGTTCACCTTAGCATCTCACGGGCATGCACGAACACGACTGACATGGCTTCGTCGATGCATAGGCTTTAAATGGTGCCACGGCCACTGGCGCAGGGGTGCGTTTGGACCACGGCTAACGGAAACAGTGTGTTGACGGGTAGATTAGACGGACGCACGAGCGTTGGGCAGAGCGCGGGGGCGCTGCTCGGTCAGACTCGGTGCACGGGCACGCACTCGGTGGTTTGGCTCCAATGATAGGACAAGAGTGGGACGTGTACGGGACATTGATACGCATTGTGGATGCATGGTAGTGCACGCCGGTTGGTTGGCTATGCTTGCTACAATGCACACGACCTCGGTAGCCTTCTTAGGCTCGGTTGTGATCTCGTCGGCATTTCACCGACCGACCGACCACATCATCGACAACACAAGGAATTATTAATAATCCTATGACGTCTAAAGTCATTTATATGCTACTAGGATTCGGGCGATTATGCTCAGATTTAAAAATTACTCGGTGTTTGAAAACGGGCAAAACTAGGGCTCTAGTTCTCTGAGCAACCTAACTTATTTTGAGCCGAAACTTTAACCCTAAGTTCTACATGATTTATAAGGATTTTATATCCAACTATTTCAGCTAAATTCCAACATAATCAATTTCTAAAAATTCACAAAATCAAGGCTGGAGTCCTGATTTTTAAACCATATCAAACAATCTCCAAAAATCATGAAATTTTAACCACAGCTTCCTCAACATATATATGATTTTTTTCTTCAAATATTAAAGCAAGATAAGGTCTGTAACTCAATCAACTAAAAATAGCCATTATAGATCTAGATCTATCATTTCGGTTCATATAGCAAATGGTCTCCAAAAATCACCAAATTTACATCTCATCCTCAAGACAATAGGATAAGATTTATGGAGTTTGAATCACGAATTACCAGATCTAGAACTCAAGATATAACAACCATGCCTTTAAATTCATAATATCTAGATCTATTCATTCCTCGCTTATTTTCATGATTTATCATTTTAAAAATTACCTATAATTATTGTCTAAGCCGTAGGAGAGAGGGTTCATGTAGATCTACCTCTTGAAACTGAAAAACTAAAATAGAAAGATGAACATTGTGGTGCTAGGCGCGGGCTGCTGGGCGCTGGGGCGTGCGAGCTGG